ATGTTTTTAATTTTTTAAAAATAAAATAAATAAATATTATTATTATTATCTACATATATATAATAGTGATCATTTATCTCACCTTTAAAAAAGTCGCCTTACCTAGGGAGCTAACAGTGACCGGCCATGTGCCACAAACTAATAAAAAGTTAGGGGTTGATATGTCATAAAATGGACTAAAAGAACTCCGTTGCTGAAAGTGACGAAGTGTGAGGACGTGTATGAAGGTTTTATGTTAATCCCATACAAATTATCAAAGAAATTATTCAAAACGTCGTCGCTCCATTCATCAGACACCAAATACGGCTTCATCTACAGCAAACCTTTCCTCAGTTTTCTTTCTCTTCACCGGCGGCGCCTCTTCATTCAGTGCTCTGTAACTTGTAATGAAGATTTCGTGCGTTCATCTGCCTTAATCGGCAATGGCGATGACGGCGATTCGTGCATCCCTTCTGCGTAAATCACCATCGAGGTACGCTTCAGCACCCTTATTCCTTCCCCTATCCTCAAACCCCCAAAACCAGACCCCTTTTGTCTTCACTAGATTATTTTCTGCCGGCGACAAGCCTTCCATCGATGCCGACGTTGAGACTGTTTATCGCATAATCAGTAGCTCCGCCTCTTCAGAGAACTTGAAGCAATCTTTGAAATCAAGTGGGGTTTTTCTCTCAAACGACTTAATTGATAAGGTACTGAAAAGGGTCAGATTTAGCCATGGAAATCCATTACAAGCTTTGGAGTTCTTTAAGTTTACCGGAAATAGAAAAGGGTTTTTTCATACTTCTTTTTCGTTGGATACAATGCTCTATGTGTTAGGTAGGAGTCGAAGATTTGATCAAATTTGGGAGGTTTTGATTGATGTAAAGGGAAAAGATCAGTCCTTGATTTCATCGAGAACTATGCAGGTGGTTTTAGGGAGGATTGCTAAGGTTTGTTCAGTTAGGCAGACCGTGCAAAGTTTTTGGAGGTTTAAGAAACTAGTGCCAGAATTTGATACATCTTGTTTTAATGCTTTGCTTAGGACTATATGTCAGGAAAAAAGTATGACTCATGCTAGGAGTGTGTATCATAACTTGAAGCGTGATTTTCAGCCTAATTTGCATACTTTTAATATACTTTTGTCAGGGTGGAAGTCCTCGGAGGAGGCTGAGGGGTTCTTTGATGAGATGAGGCAATTGGGTGTTAAACCGGATGTTGTTTCATATAATTGTCTGATTGATGTGTATTGTAAGGGCAGAGAAATGGATGAAGCATATAAGTTAGTACAGAAGATGAGGGATGGGGATATGGCGCCTGATGTGATCACGTATACCATGATTATTGGGGGATTAGGGTTGATTGGTCAGCCTGATAAAGCTAGAAACATTTTGAAGGAAATGAAGGAGGATGGATGTTACCCAGATGTTGCTGCATATAATGCTGCTATTCGGAATTATTGTATTGCAAAGAGGCTTGGTGATGCTTATGGTTTGATGGATGAGATGATAGGCAAGGGCTTGCAACCCAATGCAACTACTTACAATCTGTTCTTTAGGGTTTTCTTCTGGTCAAATGATTTGACAAGTTCATGGAGTTTGTACAGACGGATGATGGATGCTGGGTGCCTGCCAAATACGCAGTCTTGTATGTTCTTAATCAGGTTGTTTAGGAGGCATGAAAAGGTGGAAATGGCATTGGAATTGTGGAAAGACATGGTTGAAAAGGGTTTTGGGTCTTATATCTTGGTATCTGATGTGTTGTTTGATCTGCTTTGTGACATGGCGAAGCTGGTGGAAGCAGAGAAGTGTTTCTTGGAGATGACAGAGAAGGGGCATAAGCCTAGCTATGTTTCTTTTAAGAGGATTAAGGCGCTTATGGAATTGGCAAACAAGCATGAAGCTCTTCAGAACTTAACGGAGAAGATGGCTATGTTTGGGACTAAAATCCAACTACATGACAGTGAGGAAAGCCATGCGGAACAGTTAGACTCACTTCCATGTTAGCCTTGGCCGAGCTAGTTTGTTTAGCTCCTAACAAAATAATGTAATAGTCGTTGAACTACCATGCCAAGAGAGACCATATTTATATACCTGCCTAATGGTGTGCAAGTGTGGGTCAAAGACTGAGGAGATCCATTTCAATGGGGGACTTGTATCTTCTTTGTATACTTGTATCATTGGGTTTTTCAATCACTTCATTATTTCTTATTTTTCTAATTTACTAGCATTCACTCTCAATTCTTTGTAGCTGGAAGATCTCATTCACCAAGGCTCACTGATGGTAGTACTTCCCCGTACGAATTGTGAAATGCATTTGGAAGGTCTCGTAATATTCAAATTGTAAACATAAGGTTTTATTTGATGTAATTTTGTCAACATAAAAACATGATAAATCAAAATAGCCATCGGTTTTCAGTCCGATAGAAATATAAAAAACACTGGAATAGGACAATTGCAGCTACTGTGACACGAGGGAAAAAATGAAACATTTTCAATTATTCTGAAGCTACAAATAACAAATGGCAATGTTTGCAAGAAACAAGAAATTCACTAAGACAGAAGAAACGCTTGGACCATGTTTGAAATCCAGAACTCTGAAAGGAGCCTGAACTGCTTGAGGCTAGAAACTCCAATGTGCCATCTATGACTGCAATTACAAAAGGTAAAATATCAGCAGAAATAAACAAGAGGCAGGATAAATGAAACCAGAAAGCAGTAACCTATAACTGCAGGTATCAATTGTCATCCAAATAATCTTGACTGTATTACCTTGCTTGCAATGTTGTTTGAGAGCCAGTCAAGTCCCTCGTACAGCCCTTCACCTGAAGTGGCACATGTGCTCTGGATATACCTGTAGCATACAAATAGACGATATGAATGAGGTATCCGAAGAACAAGCACACCAAGTTGTGCAGACAGTGAGAAATAGAGGGTATGGTTGATCTTACCAGTGGCGCTGGCGGAGGGAATGAAGGCCAAGTTTGTCAGTTATCTCAGCAGCATTCATTGCATTTGGAAGATCTTGCTTGTTTGCAAATACTAGCAGAACAGCCTCCCTCAACTCATCCTGCCAATCCCAAGAAGCAGTACAGTTTTCAGTAAACAGTCAAACTCTAACAATCGACATTCACAATTCAACATTATGCTAACTATAACAAACTTTCTATACTCCAATACCTCATTCAACATTCGGTGCAACTCATCCCTAGCTTCAACCACACGATCTCTGTCATTGCTATCAACCACGAAAATAAGACCTTGTGTGTTTTGGAAGTAGTGTCTCCACAGAGGTCGGATCTGTATGAAGCAAAACAGAGGAAATCAGCTATGTGAATATCACAATCATAAATATTCACACTGGATTCTAACAAAATCCGAGATATTAAACCAGCATACCTTGTCCTGGCCACCAACATCCCAGACGGTAAAGCTAATGTTCTTATATTCAACAGTCTCCACGTTGAAACCTAATTGGCAAGCAAGGAAATTTAAGTATCAGAAAGGAAATATACAAATAAAGAAAACAAAGGCAACAGCACCAAGGAAATAAAATAAATCGGCCATCAATGAGAGAAAAATTCCAAGAAAACTGATGGCCTATCATACCATATTCCACTTACCAATGGTAGGAATAGTGGTGACAATCTCTCCCAGCTTCAACTTGTACAGAATTGTAGTTTTACCAGCAGCATCAAGACCCACCATCAATATACGCATCTCTTTCTTTGCAAAGAGACGGCTGAAAAGCTTTGTGAAAGACAGCCCCATGTTTGACGCCTGTTAACAAAAAATCCATGATCAATTCCAAATCAATTCAGTTTAACTAATAGTTATCTAAATCAAAAGAAACCCTTTTAAGGAATTATGAAAACAAGCACAATCTATGCATCTGGGATTAGAATTCACAAATCTGATTAAATAAAAGCTTGATCCAAAACCAAAGAGACCCACTGTCTATGGATCAAGCACAAGAAGGCACATTGCATGCATCCAGATTAATTTAATTCTAACCCAATCAGCATAAACCTCCAAGTAGAAATTCAACCTTACAAAGTTCTAAGACCCAGATCAGACAAAATCAGGGCAGGAAACACAGAGAAAGTGGATGCGAATTTCAGGAGAAAAATGCTAAATTTCAAACAAATCAACCCAAGAGATTAGGGATTAGAGAATATTGTTTTGAGATTGCAGAGAGAAAGAGAGGGACTTGCCTGAGGAAAGAGGAGCTGTTGTTGTGTGAATGGAGAGAAGCAGCAATCTACAACCTCTCCCTCAAAACCAAAGCAAATGTTTAAGCAGATTCCGTGTTGGCTATTTATAGATCCAAACGCCGATCTTAACTGCTATAACGCCGTTCATGTCTTTCGCAACTCATGGTAACTCAAACCGCTCTCCATCCCAATTCAATTATCACCATTTCTAAACAATATTTTTTAAAATATATAAATAGTACTAATTAATTTTTTTGATAAAATAAAATTAAGATTTTTGTATAATTTTTTTATAATAAAATTCACTCGTAGTATAAAACAAAGAGGGTGCCAACACATTAGGGGTGTTTATAAGACAATAATAGTATGTTTGATTTGAGAAGAATTAAGAGAAGTGCAAATTTTTTTAACTAATTATATTATAATATTTAAAAATATTATAATTTAATTAGTTAAAAAAGTTTTTTTTTTCATACTTTATTTTATTTTTTTCAAACTAAATACACTATTAAATATGTTATAATCACATAAATATAGTTATTTTTTATAAATAATTAATTATAATATTTAATAATATTATTTATAAATTAATTTTAATCTATTAAATAATAAGTGTCAATAATTTTATTAGAAGAGAAATCTATTCGAAATCTATTCATATATATACTTTATGCATCACATTTATATAAAATTTTAATTTTTTTTATTTTTAATAGTTAAGATTTGGTATAATTTTTTAAGTAAAAATTTTTTTTAATAAATATAAATAAAATTTAACTATTAAAAGTAAAAAAAATAAATAATTAAAATTTTTATATAAATATAAGTTGATTTCTTGAATAAGGAGGCAAAAGTCTTTTTCATAATTATTATTAATCAGGAGCAAACTGTAAAAGTAATTTAAAAAAAGAAGTTTCAGCCATGTGATGGTGTCCAAAGAGACCCTACAAAACCTTGAGAAACCTAAGATGATCCATTGATACCAATAGCATAAACCAAGTATATGGAGGGTTGTAGGTAAGGATGGCAATGGTCCCCATAGGAATATAATTCCTCCCTATCCTTATTTTTGTTAATAGTGGGTATGAAGATTCTCATTGGAATTGTTGGTTGGGAGTTAAAAATGTCCTTTCATCCTTCCCATAAGTATATAGAGTTTTTGTTAAATATTAAATATATAAAATTTTATTTTTTTTAATAAATAAAAAAAGAACAAATTTAAAACAACTTAAAGAAAAAAATACATTAATATATAGTGTAGCAAAGTAACATCTAATAACAAGTTATAGTAAATACATATTGTCATACATGTCCAAATTGAGTTGAGTCATTGAATTGGGTTTAAGAAAACTATAATTGAAAAAGAAATGACGCTGGACGATTTAGGTTGGATTGGACTAACTAATTGGATTAGGTGAATAAAAATTAATTGATAATATATTTACAAATATAATATATAAATCCTCTTGAGTTTTCATAGTACGAAGGAAATTTCTCATAAAATTTCACAAAGAAAAAAATGTTTCAATCCTCGCCCCACGAAGATAAATATTCTTGAAATATCTATCCTTACTTTGTGTGAAGAAATATTCTTAGAATTTTCATTCCCATGGCAGGGTTCTCTGCAGAACTCCACGGGTCTTAGAGGAATTTGCCATCCCTAATTGTAGGGAACATGGTGTTGGCACAAAAGAATGACAGCTAAGTAACCAGTAACAGCTTCATATTATGATGAGCTAGAAAGCAATGTGATTGATCCTTCATCTTTATTTTAATTCACAGGCGATAATACATGCTAAACAACTAACACAATCATAAGTTTCGACAAATTAAGGGCAGCTACAGCTTTGACATTTCGATTGGAGTAAGCTGCAGCTAACGTTGCTCACAATGCAAATCTGGTTATGCAGCAGCGGACGTGTCAGATCGTCCTCCGATCATCCTCTCAGCATTCTCTCCACGCTCGCCTGAGAATTGCGAAGTGAAAAGTTGTTACATATTTGAAGAGATGCTTCAACAGGCAATTTAAGAAGGCATTACTTGAATTTGAATGGAATATAATTAAGTTACCTGTGCGAACTCTAATGACATCAGCGACAGGCACCACTGTATGACCAAAGGAACTTTGTTAGAAGCTTCAAGATGTATCAACAGAGAAAGGGTTTCAATACTCAAATATGAGACAATGCACCCCTACTGACTCTAAATTAACAATCCTACTCTTTCGGATGTGGTTAGGATACACAAAGAGGTAACAGAGACAATTTCATAAAGATGTAGTCACCACGACCAAGCTATGATAGGAAGTAAAATGAAGGCAAAATGGGGACACAGCAGCAGTCCTAACAATCTGATGTTGCAGAACATTTCCTAGCTCATTTACACCAAATGTCTACAAAGAGGCCTCATCTATGTATGATTTTGTCAGAAGTCAAAACATAAAGAAAATTACAAAACAACTTCATTTATCCAAAATTTTTACCATCGTAGTTCCATAATTTTATAGTTTACAGCTTTATTTAGCCATAATGGAAGAATTCCCTCAACTAAATTGCTTGAGAAGAACAAATTCGGATGCTTACAGAATATCTTGCCATCACCAATCTCTCCAGTCCTCGCTTCCTCAATTATCTTATCAATCACAGCCTCAACCTGTGACACAGTGACAGGATAATTAAGTGCAATAACTTAACTAGAGATTTTAAGCAATAAATTTGCCATGATTTTCCTTCTATTGCAATATATCAAATATTTCATATTTAATTATAGAGGTGATTCTTCATATTATATCTATACCTGCTCCTTTCTCACCACAATCTCCATCTTAACTTTAGCAAGAAACTTGTCCTCAGAAAATTCAGAGCCTACAGGGTAATAAATAAACCAGAAGAAAACTTAGGCAAGACAGTTAAAAACACTATATTCATGATGGTCCTAGAAAGCACAGAAAAACAACTAGTGGAGATAGACTAATACACCAGTGAATTTCTCAGCATCTTAATGGAGAGGATAGGGAAATGAAACAAAAATGGAAGCAAAATAAGGAGGAGAGTGGCTAAATTTTCAACCCCTTCTACAGGAGAAATGCTTACCACCATGTCTCTCTGTTGAACCCCCTTGAGACCCAAAGCCTCGTACATCAGAAACCGTAACACCACGAATGCCCATTTTCAGCAAAGCCTTAATTTTCAGAACATAAATGAATAATCAAATGGAATACCACCAGGCAACTAAAGAAATAGTTCAAAGAAGGTTAATTATAAAAATATAGCTGGAAAAAAAAGGAAGTCAAATGGTAACTAAAGGATTCATTCCATTGGAAGGAATATGTCTTCCTTAATACAGGAATAGGATCCATATCCATGGTATGACACTTGGAAGAAGCTTGAAATAATTAGAAGTAACTGTATGAGCCTCTTTTTTTCTCCCATGATTTGTTGGAAAATGGAGGGATAAAAAAGGAGTGCTGAAGATGCTTTAAATTAATTAAGTCTTATCACTATTGCTCTCAATTTCTCAGAGATAAAAGTACTACAACCATAACTTGAATATGAACCAAAATATAGTCAATGCATATTTGAGACCATTCAGCTTATCTGGTGAAAACATGGTGATACCACAAAATTAATCCATTCCTCACTAAAATGAAGATCCTCAACAAGTCATAAGAGGATCAATCATGCATTTCTGCCATGCTTTATGAATAATATACTCAAATTACAATTGAATCACTTTCCTCTCCACTAATCACTTTGGCAACCAAGATACAGAGTTAAAGCCTGTGTCTTGTGAACCCTCATCTTGCAATTCAAGATACAATGATGCAGGGAAGGTAAGGGTAGAACAAATAACAAACAGTAGCTTCTATCATGTAACTTTTTGATGCCTGCCAAAAACCTCATCTACACAAATAAATCTTATCTTTTCAATGCCATGGTGCACATATTCCTCATATGCGGACTTTGAGACAGAAATGCTGGAAATTTTTACTAGAATCAACACCAAGAGCAATGGTATGGCGTAACATTTGATATAACACAGCATGGTCTTATTAACTATCCATGAAAAGAAAGTCAGAAACATGAAGTGCATTTAATAACAACCTACATAAATCTAAAGATCCATCAGCTCTTACTGTCTTACCGAAGAAACTTGCTGGATTCGCCAGGGCCTATTTTTTCCATCCGAAATTCAGCACATGAACAAAAACGGAAAAACAATTACAAATAGAAATGATCCATGCCATGCATGGGAAATAGAAAGATAGGGCGCTATACGTACCTGAGAATCGCCTCCACCTTGTAAAATTTTGCGTCCGGGACATAATATACTAGAAATGAAAGAAACCCATTAAAAATCAAGACACCAATTGCACATTCCACAAAAAAGGGAAACCCAATAAATTCAAAATCCATAAAACATTGTCCTAAGAAACGTACCAGGAGAGCTCTGGGATGCTATTACAGGAACAAACGATGCCTTTCTTGAGCTTTTCAGCGTCCCTTTAAGATTAGAGAAACAAGAATCTCTAAAACCAGGAAGGATTGTACTAGAATCTACAAAAGGACACTGCTTGAGATGGGAATAAGAATGAAGGGTACGAAGTGCTCCTGGGGTTGTCATTTTAGCCATGGTTGTTTATTGTGTTTTGTGGAAGAAGAACAGGAAATGGAAGATGGCATTACCCACTGGAAGTCTGGAACTGAACCTCGGAGTTAACGGCGAATACCGGAGGAAATTTGGTCTCGAAATTGACACTTGGAGGGTGATAGGAAAATAAGCAAATTGCAAATGTACCCTTATTGTATTAGGTAATTATATTTCTATCCAGATGGGAAATTTATGTCATGTTCTGGTCAAATGATGAATCAGTTTGTCGGTAGGGTGGGTCGGCTGTATAAGATTGTCGGAATGGCAGCGAAAGAGGGAGGGAGTGAAGGGGAAGAGTTCGTTTACAGGATTAGCACGGCAAAAGTGGGAAGAGTTGCAGAAAAATGGGTCTATCTTTGGCGGAGAGCTTGATAAGTCCACTGGTTGCTTCCACCTGAGCAATCTCGATCAGGTCTCTCTCTTTGCTTTATTGCTTTCTATTGTTTCATCGATACATCTACCCATTGCTCGGATTGATTGCTCCTGTAGCTTCTGAGACTGTAATTTTTGGGGGTAATGATTTTGTAGGTACGGCCAACGTTGCAGAAATTTTTCATGAATGTGAAGGAGGATTTGTATCTTCTCCAAATTGATGCTAAGAAGGTAAAGCACTTCACTTTGTGTCAGAGAATCCTTATGAATTATCTTGTTCTTTATTTGAAGTTCTCTGGATGAGCATGAAAGGAAGTATAAATGATGGGTTCTTGACATTTGTGTATGAAATATTTTCATTTTTGTGTTGGTTGTTAACAGCAGATAGAAATGGGGAATGAATTTCTTGTTATAGTTAACAAAGCATAAGATTATTCATCTAGTTGTCCCCATTATTAGTGATGCATTTAACTTGATGATGAATGTGTGATTGGGCCTATTCCTCTTTTTATTGTGTTAGTTGAACCAGATCAATGGTGGTGCTAAAATTTTGATACTGTAAAATGCTAAAACTCAAAGCAGTTAAATTGTATTAGCGTTACTTAGGTTTAAGAAACCATTTAGGCAACAAAGAGCATAAGAGGGAAAAAGGAAAAATATTAAAGGAGATTTTAGCCTTTTTTAAGTGTTAAAATCTTGTAAGTTTTTTTGTTTTAGTTTATGAAACATAAAGGCAAGTTTAAAATCTAAACTTCTGGTACAACTGACGCTTAAGAAACCTGATGGGTAACAGTTCATTAATTGCAACACATCATTGTTATTACCTTGACCCTTGGAGTGGGAAATATGTTGGAGGAGGAAGAAGAGGAGGGGCCACGCAGAAGATTGACATTAAGAGGCTTTGTTAGGGGATTGAATCCATAGATGACTCTGTTATTGACTTGAATTAATTGAGAATCATACAAAGCATCATTGACTAAAATTGTTCTCCTTCGTTTGATTCACTGATTAATAACATGAGATTTTATTAATATTTTACTTGCTCAAATCGTTCATCATTTTACGGCCTATATCTTTGCAGCCTGGGGATGGATTGATATATGAATTGGTAGATGCTGTCATAGATTCCCTCATTTCTACGGTCCATCTCCAAGCTTCTGCCCTCTTCCTTTAGACTTTGTTACAAAAGCAGAGAAGCTCTCTCTATCTGGAGGCCAGTACAGTTGTAGTCTGCTAAATTAGAATTGTCTCAACTACAAGATCTCCATTATTTGTGGTGAAAGAAATAATGTTGCGTTGGCTATGTATGATGTCTGCACTAGGGACTACTGCAACTATCTTTGGTCCATACTATGGTTTGTATGAATCTTAAAAAATGTATTGTAGCACCTGTCCTTACAAATTACATGTGGTTGTATTCATCATATTACTTGAAATAATAGTTATGCAAGATGTGAATTACATGTTCTTGAAAACACTCGTACATGAGATTTAGTTGATCTTCTTGTTGAAAAGTCCCTGATAGGCTGTAAATGGGTGTACAAAATTAAAACACAATTTGATGGTTCTATGGAGTATTATGAGGCACGCTTGGTTGCCAAGAGTTTTACATAGAAGTGTGGAATAGACTATGAGGAAACATTTGCTCCAGTTGTTCATCTCACATTTGTGCATAGTTTGCTTGCTATCGCTACCATACAGAGATGAAAATTGTTTTAGATGTATGTGAAAAATATTTTCTTAATGGTGACTTAGAAGAAGAAGTTTATATGAAATCACCTCATGGGGTCAACCATCCTTCAAACAAGGTATGTCAATTGCGACGTGCATTATACAGGTGGAAACAATCCTCTCGAGTCTGGTAAGCAAAATTTAATGCTACTCCGAGTGAGTTTGGTTTTACTTTCAATTCACATGATATTGATCTGTTCATTCGTAAGACTCCTTGGGCTATAGTTCTTTTACTTTTTTATATTGACGACATGATTATCATTGGAGATGATATCACAAGTGTTAAAGAGCTAAAACAATCTCTCAATAAAAAATTTTGAAATGAAAGATCTTGATGTTTTGAACTATTTTTTAGGGCTTGAAGTTACCTCTTCAAATTGTGGCTACCTGCTTTCTGAAGTAAAGTATGTTTTTGATCTTGTTTCTAAAGTTGAATTCAATGATAGGAAGAGTGTTTTCCTACATCTTTTGAATCTAATATCAAACTTACACCTATAGATGACTCTTTACTTTTTGATCCTACTCACTATTGGTAATTGGTTGGTAATCTGATTTATCTTACTACAACACGCTTTGACATAATATATGCAGTTCACATTGTTAGTTAGTTTATGGTTGTACAACACGCTTTGACATAACATATGCAGTTCACATTGTTAGTCAGTTTATGGTTGCTCCTCACTCCACTTATTATGCAACAGTACTTCGTATTATTCGTCATGTTAAGGGAATACTGTTTCATGGACTTCATTTTTTTGCTAACGCATCCTCTGTGCTTCGTGCTTACTTAGATGTTGATTGGGTCAGTGATCCTTTTAATCTAAGATCTATCACTAGTAATTGTCTTTTCATTAGTAATTCTCTTATATTTTGGCAGAAGAAAAAACATTTTCATCTCGCACTAGTATTAATGCTAAGTATAGAGCTCTCAGTGAAACCACATCAGAACTTCCTTTATTATGGTGGCTTTTTGAAAATATGGGCATTCCTCAGCTTTCTTCTTCTGATTTATATTGTGATAATCAAAGTGCTATTCAAATTGTTCACAATGATGTCTTCCATGAATGCACAAAACATATCGAAATTGATTGTCACTTTATTCGTTATCATGTTGTGAAGGGAACTATTCGTTTGATTTTCATTAGTTCTGTTGATCAGCCTACTGATTTGTTTACTAGTGCTCACTTTCCTGAACGCTTCCAAACTCTTCTTTCCAAACTCAGGTTGGTCTCACAACCAATTTGAGCTTGCGAGAAAATGTTAGAATATCAGTATTTATTGTAAAATATTATATTCATATTGTAATTGATTTTATTCTTAAGAATATTCTATTGTATAAATTTATATATAAAATCTTTGTATATTCAATGACAACAAAAAAGCAATAAACTTTTTTTTAAAAATTATTCTTCTTTTCTGTTTCCAACACAAATGAAGAATGCCACCATTGTGTATGTGGATAAATATAGCGTCAAGTTTGATCTCATTTCTAATGCCTCTAAATATGGTATGGTCTCATTTGCACTGCAGGTTTTTGTATTAGTGCGCCACAGATCTTCTCATTTTGATTGAATACTGGATTGTTTTACAGGTTTTCAAAATCCATTAATCGCGTGCTGTGGCTATGGTGGATCGCCATGTAACTACAATCCCAACGTCACTTGTGGGCAGGCTGGTTACAATGTTTGCAAAGAAGGGTCTCGGTACATAAGCTGGGATGGAGTTCACCATGCTGAAGCTGCCAATCCTATTTTTGCATCCAAGATACTCTCAAGCAATTACTCTAGTCCTCAAGTTAAGTTTAATTTTTTTTGTAATGATAAGATAATGATAAACATCATAAAATCATAAGAAGCAAGAGATTTATTGCTGCCATGTGCAGTCTATCTTTTAGTACGTAGTTTTAGGGATACTTATTGCTGGTGACTGGGAGGACTTGTTTTGTTTTGTAATAAAATTTCCATTTCAGACTTGAGGTTGAGATTGGATGTTCCAATTTGCAAGTGATGCATGTGCTATATGTTCTGACTCTATAACTGGATCCTTCCAGGTGGTAAGTCAATGCGACAATCTTGATTTTGGTAGCCTCTTCCAATTATAGGATGAAAGCATAACACAATCAGATCACAAAAAGAAAAAGAGAACTTCAGGACTTATTTCTATTTCCTGCATTGCATTGTTTCTGTTGGTAAGGGCCTTAAGGCCAATATATCTAATTGCTTCCTTCGGTAGTTGAAGTGGTGGACACTTGAACTTTAGTTGCTTGAGTTCATAGTTGGGCTCACTGAAACCAAACTTAATATGCAAACTTGGTGCAGTGTCTGGGGGAAGCACTTCGATGTCCCCGTCCCCCCCAAATCTTGTGGGTTCCGTTTTTCAATTCATTGACTTCAAAAATCTCTCAACTCCCATGAATGTGTAAGTTACTGATAACTCCCTGATGCAATTTATCGAAGGTCCAATAAATGGGTGCAAAAGAAATTTCTGAAGTTTCTTAGAGTTCTACCTTCTGCATGTTCAGTAAATTTTATCGCTGAAGATGGATTCTGTTATGCACCATACATGAATTAAATTGCACATCTTCTTGCAGAAATCAAATTAGCTGTCCAAGTTAGTCTTATCTGATTGTGATTTCTTTGGTTAATGAAAGTT